CCAAGAGAAACACTGATCAAAGACCACCCCAAGGATTTTGACAGGGCTTGTTAAGGAATAATAGTCCCATCAATTATTATAGGAGGTAAATGTTCAAAATCGATCCCTGAAATTAAGTAGGAGCTGCCAAATATGACAGCTTGCGTCTTTGTGAGGTTCACATTAAGGCTGAATGACTTACTCCAGAACAGAGTAAGTAATCGCTATTGTATCTGTGAGGTTAGATAGCGATGCCTGTGTTTAAATCTGAAGGTCGTCAGCATAAAATGGCAGTTTGGTTGCAGTCTCGTTGACATATCATCGAAACAAGAAGACTGAAGCACAAAATAGATAGGAACTGAAGACTGCTTGCAGCTAGCGTACAGTCCAAATAAAACACTTGTACTGAGTAGAATTGGCGACCAACTGGCAGTGGTCAGTGCAATCAGTAACATTTGTTATACATTTGTATTTCCTGCACAATGTCAGTTGTATTTATCGCACAATGTCTGTATACACATTATATAATCCCTGTAGGAAACTTTAAAGATGGACGCCGTGAGTTCTACGCATCACGTGAGGTATTAGATCTTACGCCAAGATTCATTATTGAAGAGGGATCTTTTAACGTGTCACTCGACGGATATTAGTTTTCAGGGAAAATATACCTATGTGTTCAAAGAGGAGTAGTGACAAGAGATGGCTGAGGATGAAAAGGGGAAATTTCCTAATTAAACTTGCCTAACTTTTAGTACTTAACTTAAGGTAGGTACCTCCAAACATGATTTTCGTTTCTAAAGTTACAGCACATTTGTAGAACAAACAAAGAGAAAATACTTGTTACTTATGTCTAATTACAGTGCCGCACTAGATAGGTAATAGATCAATCAATTGTCATCATTATGCGAATTGTTATGTTTTAGGGAAAAAAAAAATTGCTCGGTAACTAATTAACGACAAGTCTATATAGTAATGGGCATGTAGTCGTAGTAGTCAATGGTAGTCATATACATAATACTCGTATATCTGAGCAAAAGAATAATAAAAAAACTTATTCGGATTATATCCCACAAGTGTTTCACTTTTAGGTTAAATATATGTATAAATGTCCGTTTTTATCACTTTATTTGGTCTTCCTGCAATATGCAAATGGGTTTCTTTAGATTCTTCAAGAGGGATTTTTAACAATACCCAATTCGAATGGAAAAACGGGAGGCTTTCGAACAGTGTAATCTGGTAAATAGAGTCTGATTGGCTCTTTTCATTTAATGAGAAAATGTCAGTTTTATTCCTTATAATATAATACTAATAGAAAGAATCAACATGATAGAATGAACACAATTTTATCTGTATACCACAATATCAACATTGGTATTTTATAAGCGTCTAGCCTTAAGAAGTTAAATTAACAATTGTGTGTTTAAAGTTAGCGGCATTTAGCGAATTCATCAAAGTTTAAAGTTTACATATAATTACAACACCAACATAATTTTATTCTAACTCACCGAAAGCTGTAATTTTTAAGTGTCTTAAATTAGTATAACATATCTCAATGAATTTGTGTAATAGAAATCGGGGGCATACAACAGATCAATAGGTTTTTTAATTCCCGAGGCTTCACGGAAGTCTAGACTTCAAGTCAAAACTTTTTCGTATAAATATACTAACACTTAAAGAATTGCGAATTGGTGAATACGTAATAATGATCAGGCATGTAAGGTGACGCGGTGGCTGCTTAACCACCTAACATGTGGTGTGATTAATTCTAAAAAAATTGGGTTGTTTAAAAATACACTAAGCTCGAGTCTAATGAAATCACTTAAGATTTCAATCGGTTTATCAAAATTTGCGTGTCATTGTAGGCTCCATTTAGTTTCAGCGGAACAATCTATATGTGGAAGGATGACAAAAAGTTTGAATAAAAGAAAAGGACGTCGCCGTGATGGAAAGTAATCTTTTAACTAATAGGTTGGGGAAAAAGTCTTTTCGCATTATAGTAAGTATGAACTTGTAATAAAATCTCTTTGGCTATACCATTTGTATCTGGCTGGTTTTGATATCATTAAATAGTTAAAATTTTAAAGAATATAATTCCAAATTCAAATTAGAAAAATATTGGTTTTCATTTGTTTCAAGGTTGATAACGGTCATGATGAGTGAATCTAATAAAAGAATTTGATACATTATAAAATTATACCAAAATAAAAGTAAAAATGCAATGCAAACCGCGAAAAATAATTTATGATGTTTATGAACCTAGTCTACAGACACTCCTGTGAGAGTAGCACCAATTTGGTTTGATCGTTTTCAATCCGGAGATTTTGATGACAAAGATGCACTTCGCTCTGGTGACCCTGTTACGGATAAAATGGATGCCATTTTCTGAAAAAGTAGAGCAACTTCGGGATATCAGTAGTAACGACGTAGCTGAAGAACTGGTTATTGAACACAAAATAGTTTTGGCGTATTTGAAAACGCGGTGCACACAAAAAAGTCCTATATTTGGGTGCCTCACGAACTCACTGAAAGAAACCTTATGAACCGGGTACTCATTTGTGATTCTTTATTACGACGTAATGAAACCGAATAATTTTTTGAAGAAGCTGATAACTGGTGATGATAACGGTGGTTTTTCGTCATGATAACGCTAGGACCTTACACATCTTTAGCCACTCAGCAAAATATAAGAGAGCTGGACTGGGAGGTGTTAATGCATCCGCCGTATAGTCCTGACCTTGTACCTTCAGATTTCCACCTGTTGCGGTCTCTTCAGAATTCTTAAGGCAGTGTCAGGTTAATATTACGAGAAGACTGCCCAAACCACTTGTCGCGGTTTTTTGATCAGAAGCCCCAAAATTTCTATAGCAATGGGATCATGTCTCTACCTACAAGTTGGCAAAAAGTTATCTACTCGTAAAAAAATGGCACCTACATACATAAGTTAAATGTAAATAAACTTTTTTAAAAAAAGTTTTGAATTTTCATATAAAATGCGAAGAAACTTTTCCCCCACCCTTTTATATTGATTTGTAATTTCGCATGATGCACGTCTTGGTACAATTTTTACTTAGAATTGACAAAAGAAAAAAATATGTCCATTATTTTTTAATAATGTAACCGATGGACTAAGTAGAATTTCATTTACTTTAACCCCGTCATCACCCCTATTTATCGAATTTGCTGATTGATAATATTAATTACGACAAAAACTTTACCTACATACATACATACACTACTTTCATTGCAAACGAAACTATTTTTTACCAAAATGAATTTAATGCAATACAATTAGACAATATTAATCAGCTAGCCAAGTAACAGTCGCTAACGGAACTTTTTATTTTTTCAACCCAGCAAAAGAATAATTAATATGAAAACAGGTCGGTCGGTTAGCTCGTTTTATTCAGTAGGTTCGTAGACAATAAAAAGAAATGCTTTTCTTTAGTAAATCGACTCAGATTGTTCTCCTAATGGGATGCTGATTGATAAATGCATGCAAATAATGAAACGGAAACTTCTATTGTTTCACGACCTAATTTTGCGGTGTCTGAATCGGTCGCTGTATTTCAGCTCAAATGTAATAGCTACCTCAATCAAAAATATAAAATATGAAACTTACAAATTCACTTGGTATCATGAAAGTCATATTGAGGAAAAAGGAAAAGACATATTTGTTTCTTAGGCACATCACTCGTTAAATAAAACTAGTTTTTCACGGGTTAATGCACGAAACTTTATTTATTTATTGACGTTTCACAGCCTTTACAGGCTGCTTCGTCAGAATCAAATTTTATTTAATTTTGTCGTAAAACTAGTTTTATTTAAGGAAAAGACAATTAATCACATACATTAAGAGATAATAGACGTAAAAGTTTTTTTGAGGGTTTACAAAATATTTTTAATGGGTAATAGTTGAAGTTCGAATGTGAAAATTATTAATTCCCTATGTGAATGATGTATCATTAACAAACAAAGTTGTGGATTAAATAGTAGTAATAATATAATCATTAATATACATATATGAATAAGAAAACTTCATCATTTATATTTTCTGAGATAACAGCTTTTAAAGTTAGCACATTATTTGGAAGTTTCACACCTGGTATCCCATTAAGGTTGCAATGTAGGTAAGTATATTTGTGCTGTAATATAAAACGGGTAGAACACCTTTTAATCTGGGATGAAACGCAATTTATTAAATCTTTACATTAATAGAGAGGAGGCTCCGTGGTTTCTCGGATCCTTTGCCAGGACCACGGAGCATGTAAAGAATACGATTAATTGAAGTTTTTTCTTGTAGGCAACCAAAAAACATCATAGCATCATAGCAAGCAATTAACCGATCTCTTTTGGATGGGTTTTATAGCGTTAATTATTACTAGCAAACCAGTGAACCAAATGTTCACCAAAAAAAAAAATGTATTTAATTAATTGAGAACTTCGGAGATTTTGTGTGGTTTCGTTTGAAATAGAAATCACGTGATTTCTCGAAAACCGGAAGTGCTACGTTACTCACATCCGGTTTGTAGTCTTATCAGACTATTCTTAACTTATAACTTAAACATTCTCTATATCTATCTCTTACGGTTTGGCCGCTGAAACAGCACCACGGACGGACGGACGGACTTGTCTAATAGATGAGAGATGCTTTCCTTTCCACGTGTTTCAATTTTTAATGATGAATGACTTCAAGACTGCGATTTCTGCTCATAGAGCAATCACATTTTTTTATAGATTTTTGTTTTTCGCAGTTTTGTAAATTACAGTTTTTCACTAAATTCAGTGTCGCTGAATTCATTTTATTAATTACCGCGTACAACATCCGTTCAAATCGTGATTTATTGAATAAGTGGATTTTTACAAACTTACGATTTTCTTTTAGTTAAGCATTGGAGAATATGAGGGCGTAAAAATAAAACCATTTTTAAAGATTAACATTATTGATTTGTAATAGAGAAATTACATAGGAATCATAATACTTATAAAAAACCGAATAACACGCTTTCACATACACTTATGATATTATATTTTAATAAATTTCAAATCATTAATGTTTGTACAGTCAAAAACCCAGATTTTACAAAAACTCTTGATTTTTTTAGTAAAGTATTTTGAATTTCTTTTTAATTACTTAAGTATAATTTTATGAGCTTTTGACCATACATACCCACAGTAAAAAATGTGTGGTTTTATAAAACCAACTACAACCAACAAGTGAGACTTTTAAATTAAATCATTAATAGAAAATAGTCCTTCCTCGGCTGGGATTCGAACCACCGATGGTTGTTGATAAGGTCTGAACTATCAATAACAATTATAAATGTAATGCGAAATGCTAAATATGATCGAAACATTTGTAGCGAAGTAGTAAAAAATTCACTTAAAAAATGTTTTTTTACTGTGAATGAAAAGACTAGATATTCTTCAATTACATCACAAATAACATTACAAATCTGTGTCACTAACGAATACTAGAAAGTATCCAAGAATAATAACTACATTAGGTATAATAATCATTCGTGGAAAAGATACTTATTCGATATTAATAACAGGTTACTTAATTGACTGCATCACTATAGTTATTCTAATAAAATACGATGCAACAACGTTTACTAATACTAATGAAACTTTATCCCCCATATTAATAAACGAGCAATAAGCTAATAATAAGATTAGTTACGCTCTGTTTTGTTCATATCACTCAAGACGCCCAGTGCCGTCTTTGACCTATTGGAGGCCCTGGGCATATTAGGATAATGGGGCCCCTATGACCCCCGTTTGGTGATCTAACAAGAACTAGGGACTTTATATTTGTGACCTATCGCTCACGGGGCCCTAGGCACTTGCCCAAAGTGCCCACTGGGAAAGACGGGTCTGTAGACGCCATTTGTAATTAAATGAACAGAGCCAAAACATAGAGTGACTAATCAAAGTTTATTTTTCGTTTATAATTTAGTAGGTTAATGTAAATAGATCTATTTATTAGGCGGCATTTTGCAGTACAAAATAATAAGGTCTCTGCAGTTTGTTGACGGCAGATGTGGTTATTTTAGGCGGTGGCCCATGCCATTCTAGCCTATATTTGTCAAGAACTCTGGTAACAAGGGACTCTAGCATTTTGCCGACGATGCCAGTCGCGGGACAGGACTCGCCGAAGGGGAAAGATGCTAATGGATGGGCCTTTGACGCCTTCAGAGGCTCCCAGCCTTCTTGGCACCACCTATCCGGGATGAAGGCTTCCGCTCTGCCCCACTGTTTCTCAGATTTGCTTGTGAGGCAATGCGCCAGAACTATATCTACCTGTGGATTTCCAAAATTATTTCTTAGTCTAGTACTTCTGCTTATTAGATGAGAAAGGGTGTCAAACATGCTTAAAATGGTAAGCGGCCACCATAGTCTACAAAAATAGTCGGAAGAACATCTAAAAAAAAACAGAGTAAAAATTAAATAAAACTAATTTTAACGGATTAACGCACGAACTTTATTTATTTATTGACGTTTCGCAGCCTTTTCAGGTCTGCATCGTCAGAATAATGTTTTTTATTTACTTTGTCGAGCTACCTTCGAAAGAGTTTTATTCAATGAAAGTTTTATTTAATGAGGGATGTGCGTAAAGACCTAAGAAACAAACAGAGTAACAATTGCTTAAAGTATTAAAATTATACTTACTCCAGCAGGAATCTCGTATCCTTCAAGTTCAGTCCCTCTTTCACACAGGCAGACAGGTATGAAAGCTCCAGCTCACCCAAGCCTGCTTACTTGGTCTCAGTAGTCCACTTTACCTGGCCATGAGCTGCTTTTTGCGGCTGAGCTAGATGCTGACACAGAAAGTATTAGTAACTAATTCAATACTTACTCCAGCAGGAATCTCGTATCCTCCAAGTTCAGCCCCTCTTTCACACAGGCAGACAGGCATGGAAGCTCTGGCTCACCCAAGCCTGCATACTTGGTCTCAGTAGTCCACTTTACCTGGCCATGAGCTGCTTTTTGCGGCTGAGCTAGATGCTGACACAGAAAGTATTAGTAACTAATTCAATACTTACTCCAGCAGGAATCTCGTATCCTCCGAGTTCAGCCCCTCTTTCACACAGGCAGACCGGCATGGAAGCTCTGGCTCACCCAAGCCTGCATACTTGGTCTTAGTAGTTCACTTTACCTGGCCATGAGCTGCTTTTTGCGGCTGAGCCGGATGCCGACACAGAAAGTATTAGTAACTAAATCAATACTTACTCCAGCAGGAATCTCGTATCCTCCAAGTTCAGCCCCTCTTTCACACAGGCAGACAGGTATGAAAGCTCTGGCTCACCCAAGCCTGCATACTTGGTCTTAGTAGTTCACTTTACCTGGCCATGAGCTGCTTTTTGCGGCTGAGCCAGATGCCGACACAGAAAGTATTAGTAACTAAATCAATACTTACTCCAGCAGGAATCTCGTTTCCTCCAAATTCAGTCAGGCAGACTGGTATGGAAGCTTCGGGTCACATAGGCCTACTTGCTTGGTTGTGAACTCTTTGTTGCTGAGCCGAGTGCAGACACAGATGGTATTAATAACTAAATACTTACTCCAGCAGGAATCTCGAATCCTCCGAGTTCTATGTCCTCCTTGTTTCTCCTGACTACTCCACCAGTGGCCGGATGAACCCTCAGTCCTTCTTTGACGCAGGCAGATAGGTATGGTAGCTCCGGTACACCAAGGCCTGCTAGTTTGGTCTCTGCAGCCCACAACACTTGGTCGTGAGCTCTTTGTTGCTGAGCCGGGTGTAGGGACAGATGGTAGAATATGCTCAGAGCTGTTTGGGCGAGCTAAAACAAAAGGTTATTAAGGATCAAAATCAATTAAAGTAGCTTTTTGATACACATAGAACATTTGCAAAAAACAAAGTGGCAGCAACCTAGTTGGATTATGTTGACAAAATGTTAATGAAATACCTTTGTTAAAACATGGGTAGTGGGTATAAGAAGTGAATAGTCCTGCAGTTGTATTCAAGATGTTATATGTTATTGGTAATAACTTTGTCATAAATATGACATAATGTTATGTTGAACTTACAGGTTCAGTTCCAGCCAGCAGCATATCTGAGGCCAGAGGCAGTATCCTTCCATTCAAGGGTCGGAGACGGTCGATCAACGCTTGTTCGGGCCTCGGTACTCCTGAATTCAAGGCAGACATTGCTTCGCCCAGAAAGTGTTCGGTTAAGCTTTGAACAAAATTATAAATAGAAGATAAATATTTGAATCTTTGACGATGAACTGGTAATCCAAAAATTTGGGAAATTTTAAGCTATCATCAAATCTAATTTTATTGAAATGATAGTCAAGGGTCACTTGCCAAATCAAGTTATATTATAATCTAAAAAAGATATATATTAAAACATAGAATCTCTATTAAACCTCAAACAATTGACAAACACAGTGCGATGTGCTAATCAATTTCAAGAATAATTTAAGAATTCGCATGGATCTTTTAAAAAGAGTGTTACCTATAATGGTTGTCGATGGCTTTCAAAGCGTGGTTGAAGACTTGCGATTCCGTCCTCAAGGTACCTTCGCTTCGGACCAGGTAGTTGCTCTCAGCTATCTCAATGGTACACCTGATCAGGTGCTCTGCTTTGTTCAGCTCTTCTAACTTACGCTTCGAGAGCGAACAGAGTTCAGGCATATCGTCGTCCTCTAGCGAAGTCTTTTCTGGTGAACTGGAAAAAAATGGGGTTTTATGGTTCAGTCATCACCAGCTTAATGCAATCAATGCTTGGGTCAAGGCCTTCCCTATGGATGGAATATGGAGAGTTGGTCTTGATTCCCTTTTAGTCCAGTGCGTATTGACGGGTGCCAACGACTGCAGATGCAGTCGGGAAGCCAAGCCAAGGGTTTAATGTGCTTTCCGAAGTCCGAAGATAATAAGTTTATAATGACGACCTCCGTGGCCGAGTGGTTTGTACGCCGGGTTACATGATGTCGCCGACTCGAGAGGTCCCGGGTTCGAATCCCGGTGGAGGCAGATGTTTGTGTGATGAATACGTGCATTTGCACTCCAGTCATGGATGTGTAATATGTATTTCTATATAAATATACTTATATATGTACAGTATATGTATTCTATCCGTTACCCTAGTGTCCCATAACACAAGCCTTATAGTGCTTACTTTGGGGCTAGTATTTTGGTGTGTATGTTGGAAATAGTATTATTATTATTATAGTCACCAGCCAATGACCGGTCATTGCAAAAGTTGCTTTACTTCCACGATTGCAGATTTAACGCGCTAACTACGCCATCGAGCTTCTCAATATAATAATCATATAATTTATTATTTTATTATAAACAAAAGCTGCATACTTTATTTCGAAGAAGTTACACAAGTATAATTGTCGGCTAGTATTTGTTGTATAATGTTACCTGTTCTTATTTGTGGGCACATACGCAGCTCCGTCCAAGCAGCCCAGTCTGATGCTGAAAACCATCGCTCCAATGGTTTCCAGCGCCCATCGGTACACTTCAGTCTCTAACTCTTCGTTCAAAGCATTCTCGGCATGTCGGAGCTCCCCTAACCTTAGTAAAAATGTAATAATATAATCATTAAAAAAAATCTTAGGAATTAATTCATTTCCTTTTAAGAATTTTCCCTACGTTTACAGACGTTGTCGCCTTACGACGGTTTGTTTTTTAAGGTGACTGACATTGATTGGTTCGGGTGACGCTGTAAAAACAATATACCTACATAAGGAAGGAGCGATAACTTATGTTGTGTTACCAGAACTTTATGGCACATCTAAATGGTTTATAATTAAAATCAGAAAATTTTAAAAAGGGATCCTTTAATCGTTAATAATTTTCTAAATCCTACTACCCATCCTATGCTTCTTACTTTCTTCATAATATTATAAACGCGAAAGTTTGTATAGATAAACATTTTTGTGTGGTTGTTTGTTACTCTGTCACGCTAAAAGGATAAGGGATATCTATCTTGGAAATATGATAAGTTTCTCAAAAACACGGTATTCCGAGTCGAGGGCGAAAGCTGGTCCATGATATTTTTTACGATCTATCTAAGACATACCGCACTATGGGGTTGCAAAAAAAAAATTAATAAATAAAACACTTTACGTTTAAGTAAGAAGTTCCCTCAAAATTACTGGTTAAAATTTTTATTGAACAAACTTAAGTATCAAGTTGCCAAGTTGCCTTTCCTTATCTTGAATGTAGTTTCTATGTTATACTCAAGTATAACATAGAATAGAACTATATACATTGTAAAAAAACGTTCTCACTTTCAACTATCGTCAGTAAACCGACTTTACAGACAACCTCCGTAACGTTGACGACCTCCGTGGCCGAGTGGTTTGTACGCCGGGTTTCATGGTATCGCCGACTCGAGAGGTCCCGGGTTCATATCCCGGTGGGGGCAGATGTTTGTGTGATGAATACGAGCATTTGTACTCCAGTCATGGATGTTTAATATATATTTCTATAAAAAATATAATTATATATGTACAGTATGTATTCTATCCGTTAGCCTAGTATCCCATAACACAAGCCTTACAGTGCTTACCTTGGGGCTAGGCTAATTGGTGTGAGTGTTGGAAATATTTATTTATTTAACCGATTTTTTCCTTCGCTCTCATTCCAAAGGAGGAAGATGAAACAAAAATAGCACAGCATTTTTTTTAAATTGAAATATTTCTACCTACCTATTACTTGTAATTACAAGTAATCATTTAATATAATCTAAAATATTCGATGACTTCTTAATGTTAAGTTAATGAGTACCTAATTGAAGCTTTACTATTAAAATTTACCTTTTATGTTAACTATGTTGGTTCCACACGTAAGATCGGTTAAACAAGGTCGAAATTACATTCCATATTAATGCGGGAAGCATCCGCAGTTAATTTCCTTTGAGGAGAGCTCGTGAGATTTTATTGAAGTAAAAACTTTATTATGTACTTTAATATGTATGAGACCTCAGAGTTAATTCGTTTTGCTAAAGAGATTTCATTAAGAGTTGAAGAAGTTTTCGTTCGTGCCATTTTTATAAAAGAAACACTGAAATACGTGGATTACTAGGACCAATTTACGGCAGTAGCTATTTGCCTAAAAAACGTTTTATTTCATCGGGGAGCCACTAAAATTGTGCTGCAAAAGTATTTTGAGCTTACCCTTTTGTCGACGGATTTTGTATGAAATATAAAACAAATTATGTCAGGAAAATGCATCAGCTGAAAATCATCCTTGGAAAACCGAGAGACATTATTAGCTGACCAAACATTTCTGCATGTCGAAACTTGAATGAATTCACTAGGTTATTCCAGTCTCAACTGAGCTAGTACTATAAGTGTGAAGCAATAAGTTCATGATTTAAAGCTTTATAAACTTCCCTCCTTCCATGTCATCGGCTGGCGACGCCCTTGTACAGGTCGCGGCACGTAACTCTAGCGCTGAACAAAACGCGGAGGGGATGCGCGCATGGGTACGACTAGAGAGCCAATCGGCGTAACGCACGCCCACCCGCGCACTTCGTTTCCCCCCAAGACACCTTAATTTTTACTTCTGCGTAATAACGGCCAGCGCTAGAGTTTCGTGCAGCGACTTATCTATAAAAGCATATTAGAAGTGACGTTAAAAAAAAACTGTCAAATTAGTGCCGTCAGGTCACATTTGAAATCTTTTTTCAGACCTTTTTAGTCGTTAAAATACGTATTGCACCATAAAGATACAATATACAATATTGTATTGAATGTTTACTCCGATGATATCAAGATATAATGTTGAATAACCAGTATCAATTTAAATAAACTTCCAATTGAGTATCCACTGAAAATATACGTGAACTCGAAATAAGTAATAAACTTGTATAGCTTAACAAACTTAAAAAATAACTTTGTATAGTTGATTTCAATGCTAAAGTTTTAAATAAGAGGTATAACTGGCAGTTTTTATCATCACAGCCAAATTTATTTGCATCCGGTAACTCTAAATTAGATTTTAATATAACCATGACATTACATACGCGATGTATCAGTGTTTTTATTGTTTTTTTAATAAGGATAGCCGGTTTTATCGTTTGCAAATTATATTGTCATTGCGGCTGGGAACCTTAAAAACGTTTATGCATCATAACAATGCAGGTTTGTGTAGACTCGCCAAGTTAATGTTCTTAGGATTAAGGATGTTATAATTACTGTAATAAACCTTTTTTCTGGAGTCCGTACTCATACCGTGAAACTTAGAACCCTATTAAAATGTCTCCTTTCTCGGTCTGTCACAAGGATCTTAATCTTGAACGGAAATATTAGCAGTTTATTTGGTAATTTACACTTCTCCGACTATAACTCATAAAATTGCAAAGGCTACTTAGCTGATCGTTTTCCTTATAATTTAATAATATTATTAACGGTATTTTTATTAAAAAACATACGGTAGTGTAGACAGGTGATACTACCATGTTTTTTTTTTCAGATATCCAAACACAACCACTTCACTTGATGAATAACGAATTATCAGGCGAACATTTGCCCTACCGGGATTCGAACCCTAGGCCATGAAGTAGGCGACACCTTGAAAACCGGAATAAATAACACGGAGGTCGCCAATAATCACGGATATTGCATCAATAACAGCTTCCTTATATTCAAGTCACCTTTCCTCGTTATAAGCCTCAAATTTCGTCGCAGCATAGTTCGTGAGTAAAATATCAAGTGGCCGGGTCTGAGTTGGATGTAGTTCCGGCCACTTATCAGGTAAATTGGCCTGGAGCTCGGTATGTGTACTGTTTTATTAGGGTTAGGGCCAACCGTACTATATAAAATAGTATCCTACTATATTAGGGGTTCAAATACTATATTTCTAAATATATCTTTATATATATAATTCTTCTGTGAGTGTGTATGTCACTGAACTTCTCTTAAACGACTGGACCGATTTTGATGAAATTTTTTGTGTGTGTTCAAGGGGATCTGAGAATGGTTTAGATTCACAATTTTGTCCGCTGGACAACCCCTATTTTTTTAGGGCGGTACGAAGTTCGCTGGGTCAGCTAGTATATATATATAGTAGGCGAAACTACTATATTTTGCTTAAAGCAGACTTCTGCCAGTAAAAGCTTTCTTAAATAGAATAACCTAATTATTAAGGCATATATCGGCAAAAATATATTCTTTTAAACTTTTATGGTCACTAACATTATAGATATTAACGGGATTGTTACCATGTACCTTGTATTTTATGAGTCTCCGATATTTCGGCACTGATGCAAGCGCCATGATCACTCAGTTACTCCGTGATCATGGCGCTTGCAACAGTGCCGAAATATCGGAGACTCATAAAAAACAAGGTACATGGTAACAATCCCGTTAATATCTATAATAAAAATATATTCATTTAAAAAATAGTAGTAAATATTTTAACCACATACTATATTTTTTCCATTTTATGCACTCTACTATATTTTTAGAGGTGACTGCTTCGAAAATACTATATTTGATATAAAAAAAGTTGGTAACCCTAACTGTTAGCCAATTTTGATTCCTGTCCCACCATAAACTTGTATTGCACAGATTTTCGCCTCTCAATGACATAGTGTTGACCATAGATGAACGATTGGTCTCGCTTCACTCGACTAGATACCGCCGGCGTACTTGTTTAATGGGGCAACAAATACTATGCCGAAATCGGCAGACCCGAGCCTTCGCCGTGTCAGTCACATTGACAGCTGCACTTTAGGTGTTAGTCCCGCATATTTTAATCAATTTAGAGCACAATCCGCAGCAAAATGTCAGTTTGTGTTGTGAAACGTTGTAAGAATAATAGTTCAAAAAATAAAAAGGACACTGGGATCACATACCATCAGTAAGTATCTTATGATTTCGAAATTTCGATGTAAAATTTCATGAAAAATAAACGTCATTTAGGGTTGCCAAGTACGCAATATAAAAGTCCCTATGGTTGAGATTTTTATAATATAAATATACTGTTAAATGACCCATTTCATTTGACCTCTTTATGAAATACAAACTATTCGTGTTAGTGAATCGAAAATAAATCGGGGGGGTTAAGAAAACATCACAATTTTGGAAAAAATGTTGAAATTAATTGAATGAAATTGAGCACAGAGGCCCAAGTACGAGTTTTTGACAGCTTCGTAAAGTATCGTTATGGTCAAATTTTTTTTTTAGTTTTTTTCATAGAAACTTTGACGATGCGATACGTTAGCGTTAAGCAGCTGTCAAAAACTCGTGCTTGGGCCTCAGGGATAGCTTATGGTGCAGGTAATAATAAAGGAAACTTAATAATTTGAAGCAAACTTCACTCACACCAGTTAGCCTAGTCCCAAAGTAAGCACTATAAGGCTTGTGTTACGGGATGCTAGGGTAACGGATAGAATACATATACTGTACACATATAAGTATATTTATATAGAAATAGATATAAAACATCCATGACTGGAGTACAAATGCTCGTATTCATCACACAAACATCTGCCCCCACCGGGATTCGAACCCGAGACCTCTCGAGTCGGCGACACCATGAAACCCGGCGTACAAACCACTCGGCCACGGAGGTCGTCTAAATGATACCTTGACTTTACCTTCATTATATTATTGCGAAATTCTAAATGACGTTTCGTTATTTTATTAGCTAAATGGAGGCCTTCTTTATCTTGCAAATTATTTAGTTTTTCTAGAAAATTCCAATAAATTTCATTTTCATGTGGGAACGTTTCCAAGAAGAAGATTCAGTATTATTAAATGCACTAGAAAAAGTTAAGGATGATTTTGACGAGATCACAGAATTCTTGGATGTGCCATACATGTCGAATTTTAAAAACCACGTTGTTTGATACGTAACCGGTTTTGTTGTCAAGTTCTTAACAAAAAAATTTAAATGCTGTCATTGTATTGATAATTTAACTGCTAAAAATTATTGTTGGTTCCATAAATTTCTGATGTTAAAAGATAGAGGTGGATTATCATATGCCTCTGAAGATGTATTTTTAATATGCTTGGTTTCAGAATCTATAATACAAAATATAGATAAAGTGTCGCACATAAAATCAAATTTAATATATAAAAAAATTGTAATTGATGTCATGAAAAAATTCATCGGGACGGGTTCTAAAAGATATTTTGATTTCGACTCAAGTCATGTTAATGGTGCCATACATCAGATTAATTTAATTCGACTAGTAGTGGAGAAGTTTATACAAATACGACTCCATTACATTTGGAAGAAAGAAAATTTGCAAAAGTCAGGGAATTTTAAAAGGCAAATTTATCGTAAACTTGTTCAAGTTAGTGGCATATAATTTTTATTTTTTGATAATAAACTTTATTCTTTTGTTAACCTGCTTATTTTAATAGTTTGAACTATATATATTGTTATTATAGTTTTATTTCAAATTCTAGTGTTTGCTTGGTTAATAATAATTATAAATTTACTCAACACTGGTGTCGATTCTGACATGATTCTCTAACTTAAAACTTAATTTAAAATCAGTCTCTCCTTTTCATACTGTATAGAGAATGACAAGGATCCACTGTTGTCAAATTTAAGTTTAGCTGTAGAGAATCATGCCAGAATCGATATCACTAAATGTATAATAAATATTTATATATATCGAAAGTCTCACATCTATTAGCCTAGCTCCCGGGACCTATGACCTATGAAGGCCGACACCATCAAAACTGGCGTACATACCACTCAGACTTCGGCGGCACTTATAAGAATTTGTAATCAAACTATTGACAGGTGGGATAAAAATAAAGTAACTAACTATGCAAGCGTGATAAAATTATAGGATTCGCGCCTCCGTGCATCACGTATATTTGCAAAAAAAAAAAACTAAAAATGATATATATTCATTTAATATGTACGGATTTTGTAATTGGTATTGTTAGTGTGGATCGACAACAGCATAAAATATTTTCCCTATTACAGGGGTAGCAGTTGAGCAGCTGGCTACATTTTTTTTGACATATGACACCGTCCTTGCAGAGTGACATACACACACTACAATAATGAGTTGCCCCATAACCGGAGCTGTTGTTTTTTGATAGCGCGGTATCTAGTGGAGTGAAGCGAGACCAATCATTTATCTATGGTGTTGACGTTACTTGTTAGAGTCTGTGCGGAAAACGGAATGGGCGTGGCGAAAAACGGAACTGAAATTAAGATTTTTATTTGGCAATCAAACCCAGCAATCTGTAAAACGTCAAAGTTTTGTATTGATACGGATTTGTTTGTTGTTGTGATTTCTTGCGGTTTTTTGTATTTAATCATGTCTAAAAGGGGTAAAATCTTACAAATACGGTACAAAAGCACTACAGCGCCCTCCAATCTAATTCCCATTCTCTTTCCGCACAGACTCTAGGAGGTTTGCCCATAGACTTAGTTTACCCCTATTAATTTACTAAAGATTTTTTTATGTTAAGAAGTCGAAAGAGTTTCTGTTATATATTTACGCTTTAAAAAGTTATTTCCAAATTCAAACTACAATTTTAATTTTATCTAGAAGATGATTTTCTGCATTTGAAACAAAGGTAAATTTTCAAATATCTCTGATTTATGTATTGTTTTTAACTTTCATGGTCACTAACATTATAGCTATTAACGGGATTGTTACCATGTACCTTGTTTTTATGAGTCTCGAGCGCAGTAAAAGACGACGTCAGAGGGTAGACCGATATGTCTGCCATTAACATCTACCCGCAATTACTTCAGTTACCTTGCGATCATGGCGCTTGCAACTTTGCCGAAATATCGGAGACTCATAAAAAACAAGGCACATGGTAACAATCCCGTTAATAGCTATAATCTCTGATTCACATTAATACACATTCTTTTTATTAGAAGCTCCTAAGTGCAATGTGCATCTTTTACAAAAATGTTTTTTTTTGTATTGTTTTGTTAATTGAGAATTTAGAATTTATTTTGTTCTTTTAAACCAAGTAAAATTCTTTAATATGAAATACCTGCAAACTTTGTCTAAATGTCTAAATTTTAGCCAATACCACCATGAGGATGAGTACTTAAGATTGCAGCCGGGACAACGGCCTTTTTACCCAACGCCCTGAACAGGGCCACCAGACAATACTCCTGCACCGGTCACCCGGCGTACATTCTGAGGACCGCAGTCCCCCCAATGCACGCCGGGAGTGCGGGTCCGGTCGCGGCAACCGTTGCCGACTGTCCGCAACTCTTCCAAACCTTAAATCAACTAACATAGTGGACATATCTCATAGCTGTTCACTTTGTTACCTCCTGGTGGCGTCTGCGGCGATGTCGTCAAACACCTGGTTGTAATGCTGCAGCAGAGTGCTGTCCTGCAGCAGGGCTCTGATGGCCACCCATACGGCCTTACTTTCATCCCTGATACACAAAACATTAGCCTTATTAACACAAAGTAGTTAGTCATGCATTCAGCAACAGCTTAAGAAACAATTGCATACAAAATCTAAAGAAAATATAACTAGAAAAAAAATCCACGCGGACCAGGCAGCAGACGGGACTCGAACCCGACACTTGGTCAGTGCATTCGCCCGGATTGCGAAGGGTACTTTTTCTAGTCCCGTCTGCTGCCTGGTCCGCGTGGATTTTTTTTCTACTTATATTTTCTTTAGATTTAAAACATGAGGCAGTTACATGCTTAAAAAATAAAAAATATAATTGCATACAAAATAAGCCTAAACATGGTTTATTAATCTTTTACTTTTTGTAGTACAACCATAGAAATTTAATTTAAAACAAAGAAATAGTTGAGACGATAATTATACTAAAAATAATATAACTTAACTGGGCCCTGGGTGTCAGAGTATATTCGAACCTTCCGTTAATATAGCTGCAAAGTTTTTTATGATTATTAAATATTATTCCGCCTAAGTTTCTGAATGTCTCAGGCAAAGATCATCATTGTTCATCAGCCTATTAATGTCCCTACTGCTGAGGCACAGGCCTTCCATTTGAATGGAATGGGCCGCGAGTCACCGCGAATGATCATCACCCAGTGTAAATTCGTGGTTGCTAATGACTCCAGATGCAGCCGAGACTAACTTCTTAACGTGCCTTTCGCAGCACGCAGGAGTTCGAAGGCACCCATCTAATGACTGACCATTGTGAAATTTACTGAACTTCTGCGATTATTGGCCGAACGTGCTAACAACCTCCATCGAGATTCTCAGTGTTAATTTTTTTTCAATGCATACTTCACTGTAATGTAATCCACCCGAATATCTGAAAGCCCAGGTTCGAATCCCGTCTGAAAGTCCGAGTGTATTTTTTTCTAGTAAATATTTTTCTATTCTCACCCGTGAAAAGGACATGCCGACGCATTCAGCTTCCTGTGTTGGTTGAGGGGAGAGCGCTCCCACTTTGGAGGCTCCGTCACTCCACTGTCATACACCTGTGTACAAACAAAATTTACTGTCAAACTATGGTGTACTATGCGGCCTACATTCTTACGGTACACCAACATGTACATTTTATGATAAACATAATAACGGTAATAGATGGTTGATATTTATTTCCTGTCCAGCCCCCCTACTATGAGCACCGTGATATGATATATAACGCGTTTTTATCACGCATAATTGTCAAAATACTATGTAGTCAAAATACTATGTAGTTTGTAGCGATAAAAAAGTGATATAATGTAAATTGTTGTGCTTATTCTACGGGGGCATGTGACATAATTTAACCTAGGCGGTGTTACGCCAATTGCCTCAAGAGGCATTCAACAGTTTTTTTTCTGAAGTAAGCGGCGGCCATAGTATATAGACGCTTGCGATTCCGGAGTATTAGGCGTGCCGTTGCATAACCTGACCATATCGCTTACCCTGCTGAGCCTTGAAACTTTAAGTACTCGTCGTTGACTCATCGACATAAACACAAAACTACCAAAAGGTACTACAGTTTATTCGGACAGAAGCGCCTGTCTAAGGAAGCAACCTCCACCTTACAGTAGACTATAGTAAAAGTAAAATACTCGTACCTTTTGGTGGTGTTGTGTTTCTACTGGTGAGTAGGGTTCTAGGGCTCCGCGGGGTAGGGGATTGGGTTTAGGCCGGCAAAGTGAGGATGGCTGGAGAAGCACACCATCTGCCCCATCATCTATCTTCCCGATTGGAGTGCACTTATATAATGCGATTCAATTAAGAATAGGACCGACTGGGCGCCATATTGTGATGTCATAGCTGTCAATTCAAACCAAATAGGTAGAGTGAGCAAAAAAAAGTTTATGAAGTGAAAAATTCTTTAGCGTCATTGTACACTTTTTTTGTATGTGTAAAAAATGTTAAACTCTTCAGGTTAAACACGTGGGCTGATAGCATCATGACCCACAATAAAATTGGAAAGGTTGTTGACTTTCAATATATTGGACGAAACATAGTATTATTTTATTTTGTCGTATTATAATAATAAGTCTCTATCTAGGACGTCCACGTTGCAGCTTTTTTGCGAAGAAAATGCATTTTTTTTACAATAGATGTCGCTAGGTGCGCTTAAATATGATTCATGTAAGTCGATTTCTTTACAATAGATGTTGCTAAGTGCGCTTAAACGTGATTCATGTAAGTTGATTTTTCTGAGAGATAAACTTTTTTAATGTAATATAAATTGTCATGTTTGTGTACGATAGCGCAATAAATAAATATTGTATTCTACCACATACATGATAGTACTTTTATACTGATAATTAAAGCAGTTCGTGCAAAATTATTTTCTAACCATTCCAAAATATCAAAAATGCACAACGTTAACATTCAAGTTTTCACTTCTGCCGGCACTCCCGGAGTGCAACCCGTCGTTTTTATATTTAATAAAACTTATTTACTAAGATTAATTGAGAAAAAGCATCAGATTTTTTTAATTACATTTATTTACTAAGATTGAGAAAAAAAAACCACCGATTTTTAATAATATTTATTTATTAAGACTGTGAGAAAAAACAATAATCAGAATCTAGCTCTTCTATACCGCTCATCTCTGCATTACCGCCGGAGTAGTTATGAATAATCATGCACTATTACTAGGTCACATACGAACATGCATCCTTTATGTAAACGAAAGTTTGAAATCGAGTTTCTGAACGCAACTTAAAGTGACATTTGGTTGATAGTTTAGGTTATCCACCATTCATGTCCAAAGCTCAATAAGTGAAAAAAAATATCAACCGATATTTATAATCAATATTTGTTATTTTTTGTTTACAAATGTTTGGTTTTTATTCTTGAATTTGCGGAGTGCTAAAAAAGGGTTCCAACCAAGTTTTTTTTGCAAACCGTACTTTTCAAGCGACATTTGACAGATAGAGGTCATTGGCTTTCCTATTCATATTTGAATCACATTATACATATCATCAGGTGGGGAAGGGTAATTTGTTGCACTTCGTTTAAAAAAAAGGTTCCCAAACGGACGCGGGCGGTCCAATTCGGGCGGCCAACCCGCTTTATCCTAAACAACTAGCAAAAGACTAATAAATTGAATCCTTATATTTGTACACAAATTCTCTCTCCTATCCCACTACGAATCATCATCATCATCCTATTAATGTCCCTATTGCTGGGGCACAGACCTTCCTTATGGATGGAATAGGGTGATTGGGCCATGATCCACTACACGGGCCCAGTGCTGATTGGCGGGTGTTAACGACTGCAGATGCAGCCGGGACCAACGGCTTAACGTGCCTTCCGAAGCACGGAGAAACTCGAGATAGAAGATTTTTGGTCACTCATCCAATGGGTCGTTCATTGCGCGAAAGTTGCTTAACTTCAACGATCGCAGCCTAATACGCTAACCACCCGCGCCATCGAGCTCCTCTTAGAAAACTCCCACTACAAATCAATTACACTTATTTAATGCAAGAGTAAGAGTAAGTACTTAGTGATAAGTGTATCTTAGATTATGTCATCTCATAGTCGTAATTACTATCACGCGAGTATAGCATGCATCATACTATCTACAGTTATTCTCGTAACTTGGAATGACGTACTTTGTTAAAATAAATTGTATATACAATAATAAGATAGTAGTTAATTTGTTTTTAGACAAAATATCTCTTCATTATTTACGACAGCGCTGGTAATAAAAAAAGCCGTCACAACTGATAAAGTATCAATTTGATCCCGTTATTTTGTTTATTCAGTAAGTAGGTAAATACCAAAAAGGCAAATTGCTTTTTTCGCAAGTTGATGGATAATGATTTATGATTATCAATTGTTTGTGTGGTACATTAAAATACGCAGCCTTTTTTTTCTTATTTTATTTACCTATGTAATCGAAATAACTGAACGAATTTTGTTTATTAGCCAGTGTTTGAGAGCAGGCTAACTTTGAGTGAGCGTAACTTAAAATGCAAAATAATTATTTTTAGGACTTATTTTTAGGACTAAAGGGCAACTGACAACTGTAGAAGCCCTTGGAAGATTTTTATTTCAAGTTTCGTCCGTTGTGGCACTGTTCAAATTTCCATACAAAACTTCTTGACATTTGACACGTATCGAGATCGAATTCAACTATTCGAATTCGACATTAGTTCGTACTGTACACAATATTTCTAAACGCTCACTGCCGGCCACAGCGAAAGTTGCTTCACAAACCGGTTCATTATTTTATTTTATTGACCATTGTGAACTTAACTGATAATATGTGCCAGTATTGACGGAACAGCGTCAACTAATTTGATATGCCATTACTCTCATAACGGCAACAAAGTTTATCGCGCTTCGAAAAACAAACAACAAACATTACGTATCTAAAGTCAACTAAATTAGCAATATATTTTTATGTGAAGTGTCAATATTCCACGATAACTGAGTGCAATAATAGTTGACGTTTGAATATGGATAGATAAGATGTCAAGGGAATTGACTCTTAGTAATGGATGATTTCAGGCGCTTTACTCAGTGGGTCGGTGCGTGATCGTTTTGTTTTAGTTTCTGTACCGATCCGAGTGGATGTATATAATTAAATGACAGCACTGAGTCATTTCGCTACAGATTCTTTACCGAGCGAGTGCTGCCGTACCATTGGACTCGCCCATCCCGTCATTCCCGCAAACAAAACCGTCTTTTTTTATACCTCTATTTACAGACGTTGATGTCCCTTTAGGGGTACACCAACGAACGGACCTCACGCCTAGCCTCATTCAAGTCTCACGGGTGCGAAACGGAGCAGCCGTTAAATAGTCCGCGCGGCTTAAGAGCCCTTACGGCATACTATCCGCTAAAAAACCCACACGGGCCTAGTGCGGATTGGGGGGTGCTAACGACTACAGCTGCAGCCAGGGCCAACGGCTTAACGTGCCTTGCCAAGCACGGAGGAGCTCTAGAATTTAAGTTTTTGGACACCCATCCAATGACTGACCATTGGGAAAGTAGCTTTACTTTCACGATCGCAGTCCAAATGTATATCGCTGTTAAGGGTGGAACCGCGAGATCCCCGTTGTGGGATTTCACCGCATCTTCGAACTTGACAGCTTCCCGGCCTAGCCTCCACGGCAGGGATCACACGCGGTATCTTTTTTTTTATGTTATAGGAGCCGTCTGCTCGTATGCCCGAGCAGACGGCTCACCTGATGGTAAGTGATTACCGTCACCCATGAACACTTGCAACACCAGGAGTATCACAAATGCAATGCCAGCCTTTAAGGAAGGAGTACGCTGTTTTTTTGAAGGTTCTTGGGTCGTATTGGTCCGGAAATACTGCTGGCGACAATATATTCCACAATTTTGTCGTACGTGGTAAAAATTTTCGACAAAAACGAACGGTTGTGGAAAGCCACGCATCAAGATGATGGGGATGAAATTTTTGTCGCGATGTACGATGGCGAAATGCAGCAGGTAATCCCGCACGACATGCGCAGGGCTGCCCTCAGATGATACTCCGGCACGATACCAGATAATACTCCTGAACCGTACCAGATAATACTACTGCACCGTATAAAATAATACTCCTGCACCTTACTAGATAATATGCCTGCACCATACCGAATAATACTCCTGCCCCGTACCAGACAAACAAAACGAAACAATACCGCACCGAAATAGAGCCAGACAAGAAGTGGTTCTCGGTACAGAATTTGTACAGAAAGGAAAAGGAAACGAGCACGCATCGATCCGCAGGCTTATTACCGATCGATCTTTAGTAAGCTGTCGCTTTATCGGTATTACGGAAATAAATCGCTAAATGATTGCTTTTTTATTGATTAATTGATTGTAAAATCCGTCACGGTAAATAAAGCCTCATATGAGGTGTGAGATCTTATTTTAAATTAGTTCGATTAATACAAAACTCAGTAACTCGCTGACCAATGACTGGTAAAAATATTTTATTTTGTGGGGTTTTAGGTTGATTTCACATTTTTCCTTTTTCACCTTTATTGTTTTTTTCCAAGTATCAGAT